AAAAAAAAAAAAAGTATGGTCTACTGACCATTAAAGGCTGGGAAAAGTTTGAATTGCTCAATATTCTTCTATTCACTGGAGCCCTTTAAAACAGCAACATGCTTCACCAGAAATTGATTTTTAGTTTTCTTTTTTTCTTCCTTTTTTATCATTATCGTTTTTTGTCTATTTTTCTTTATTACGGGAAAAAGCTGTTTGCACTCTTTCGCAACAAAGTCCCAAGCCAATTTCCAGCAACTTGCATCGAGCCCCTGTATCAGAACAAAGGCTGCTGCCTGAATCTGAAGTGGAAATTTCCACTGAGCCTTGAGCCCTGGCTATCCCAGTTGCACATTTGAAACTTAATATTACAACAAAACTAGAGGGCCTTCAGCTTCGTAAGGGGAGCGGTGTGGGTTCTGACAGTGTCGGTGCCAGGTTAGTGAGTCTTGCAGAACCATGTTTACAGTAGCAATCACTCACAATTATTAAAAAAAAAAAAAAATTATAAAATAATAAAAATAAAAAAAACCTAGAATGTCTCAAAATGAACTGATATTACAAAGCTTGCTTTCAAGGCTTCAACTCAGCTGAGAGAATAATAGATAGTTTCAGACAATGACTGTGCCATTGTCTGCATAAATAAACACTTTTCTTATCAGTGTAATGAGTAAAATCTGCTCTTTCACTACTACTCTCTAGTCAATCTTAAAGGATGGGGCTTCTTTGAAAAATTCAAACTTGCGGAATCTAAGTCCTCTCACAGCTTTAAAACTCACAAACGCTTGAAAACTGAAGTGAAGATTAATTTTGATCAAATTACCTTGAAATTTTATACTCACAAATATTAAGAACACTACACAATTTTGCAGCTTCATAATCCTGTTAATGTGAACATTGTTAAAAAAAAAACTTTGCCACAACTGTTTATGCAACAAGCTACAACATATAAGCATATACACTACCGTTTAAAAGTCAGGAATCAGTAAGGCTGTTTTTAAGACATTCATACTTTGATTTTTATATTTTACTTCTATAACAGCAAGGACACATTCAATTCATAAAAACTGACAGACATTGTAATGTTACAAAAAATTTATATTTCAAATACATTTTTTTTCTATTCATTAAATAAACATTCCATTTATCAAAGAATCCTGAAAAAAAAATTATGTTTTTTTTACAAAAATATTAAGCAGCACAAGTGTTTTCAACATTGATAATAATAAGAAATGTTTCTTGAGCACCAAATCAGCATATCAGAATGATTTCTGAAGGATCATGTGACACTGAAGACAGGAGTAATGATGCTGAAAATTCAGCTCTGCCATCACAGGAATAAATTACATTTTAACTAAACCATTTAAATGTTAAATTGTAATAATATCTGACATATTATAATATTACTGTTTTACTCTGTTTGCTCAACCTTGGTCAGCAAAAGAGATTTCTTTCAAATATATATATATATTTTTTTTATGTACCGACCCAAACCTGTGAACGGTAGCGTTTCTTATCTGTCAAGGCTATAAAACAGGTTTGATGAATAAATAGTAAGTTGTAAGCGTTACATGCATTTTGACAGATCCGAAGAATATATATAAAAATATATTAAACATAATATAAAAACAAGGATTCTAGAGGTCATAGTTCTGCAAATAGTCCTGATGGATGGTTGGTTTTTCCTGAGCAAATGCAAACCTTGTACATCTTTTATTGCATCTCTGACCCGTGAACCTTTACCACATTAATTCAGACTTTAAATTTGTGTGTGATAACAGCACAGAAAGGAACATTGTATCAATGAAACCATCATCTAAATCATCAAAAATTAGCATGAAAAATCGTCTTGTCTCAGTTTGTGTGGGCAGTGAGATTAATACACTGTTTAAGGGCAATGGTGTTACTCCCACAGCTAATTAATCCATTTTAAGCAGAAGCAGAGCTGCAGATGAGGGATTAGACAGGACAGAGAAGAGAAGCCAAACCCATATGACTTTATCTATTAAGGAACACAAAAGAAGAAATATTGTCTTTTTGTGTCCCATGAAAGCAAGAATGTCATATGGGTTTGGAACGACATGAGGGTGAGCAAACGACAGAATTTTCATTTCTGGGTGAACAGGAATACACCCTGCAGACTAAGCACTGGAAAAGAGATGATATGATTTATAGGTCCAGAGTAATGATGAATAGTGTGCATGCTATCAAATAGCTTATCTTGCAATAATTCTCTCCAATGCTCTGCTGTGCTGAGTGTGCAAGCTGGCTTGTTATACTGATCTGAGAACAGATCTGTTGTCACTTTTATGAGTGGTTTAATGATCCTAAATGTACGTAAGAGGGCAAGTGTCCTGTCTTGTGAGCTGCCTTAAACAGTAACATGAGAAGGTACAAACAAGTTGCAGTGACACCAGCAGCTGTTGCCCCTAACTTACCCTTTCAGCCGACATTCCCCACAGGGCCCTCATAAACAACTCTGTATTTCTTTTTGCCGGGCTTTCTTTTGGTCTTATTTCTCATCTTCTGTTCATCGTGTGGCCATGTATATACTGTACACAAATATGCACGCAATAGCCCTTGATTCAGTATTAGTATTACACTAGTATCTTTCACTAGAGAATCAGTGTTTCTAAAACAACACAGAGTGTTCTTCTTTCAATGAGTCTATAAAAACATCAGATACTGGAAATATCAGAGCAACTGTTCATTAAAGAGACTTACAAGCTGTTGATGCAAGACATTATGAAGGTGAGTGAATTCAGCTGAGCGATCAATCATACAAGGGACAGTTTAATTCTTTCATAATATATGGAGAATCTCTATAACTGCATTTTGCTGATCAATTAACTTTAAAGGAATATTTCACCCAAAAATTTAAATTTGCTGAAAACTAACTCAACTAAGGCCATTCAAGATGTAGATGAGTTTGTTTCCTCATCTGAACAGATTTAAGGAAATTTACCATTGCATCACTTGCTCACCAATGGATCCTCTGCAGTGAATGGACATGCAAATCCAGCTGATGATGAATTGCCTCACTACCTAGGATGCATTTCCACATATAGGCCATGTCCACACGTACATAGGTATTTTTAGTTTTTCCTTCTGTTTTTAAAAAAAATCTCCGTCCACATGAAAATGCATGCTATGAAGCACTGTCAAGAGCATGCCAAACCAATAGGTGGCGATATAATCTCAACCGTAAAGCCATGTTGGCCAATCAGAAGTCTGAAAAAGTTTCTAGTAAGCGGAGATAACAGCGCATGCTCTGACGTGAAAAAGTTTCCAGTAGGCGGAGATAGCGAAGGCTCTGACGTCACAAGCCAAAAACTCCGGTTTCACTGTCTACACGATAACACTGCAACCGGAGTTTTAAAAAACTTCACCCTGGCAGGCGTTTTCAAAAGTGTTCGGTTTCAGTGACCTGGTGCTGCGTTTGCGTGTGGACGAACGGCCAAACCGCGTAGAAAATGCTGCGGTTTTAAAAATAACCGCATTCGTGTGGACAGGGCCATAGTCTACCTGAATAAAACAATTTCCGGTCTTATCAAAAGAAGAAAAAAAATAATAATTAGGAATAACTGGAGTTAACTACACTTATCACAAATGACCCATGAGTCATATCTGGCATGTGTTCATAAGCATCATCCACAGCTTAATCACAGGCTAGGTTCAACAGCTCATTTGCATGTTAAGTAACCTCAAAGTTAAATTAGCAAAAGCTGGATTTGTCAATCAAATGCATACAGCATCATACAAGCATTTTGTACATTATTACAATGCATAAACATCAGAAATGACCACTTTGGTTTTAAATGTCAGCATGTTGAAATAAACTAAACGCCTAGTGAAAACAGATGGATTTGAGGGTCAGTTGCCCGTGAATAAACTGCTTTTAGCAGTGAGCTGTATGCAAATGTTTATAGTTTCTGAGCACTGCTCCACATAAGGTCACACTGTTGAACTCTACACCTTAGGGGGCTGTTATTTTCATTGTCTAATACCAAGCAGCCAGGATGGCATAAGGCAAACTGACATCTCTGGACATTGTGCACACAAACAAGTTCCTGATTAGTTCTTATTACATGCCATACATGTCGTTCAAGCTGCTACACTGAAAAACAGCATGCACAAGCTCGTTGTATTACACCAGAGACCAGACGTGCCTGCTTAATGATGCGAGAGACGCAATTAAAGTAAATACATTTTCTTGCCATGACAAATTAAGAAGAATGCTGTGGCTTGGATTGTTTTATATTATGAAGTATTTTGTCAATGAATCTAAATCAGTGGTATTTAACTGGTAGGCCAAGACCCAAAATGATTTGTTGGTCTGTTCTGATAGGGCATTAGAGGTAAAATAATGTTAAGGGCAAATAATTGCATGCTATAATTGTGCATAACAAAATCCAGGTTTAACACTGGATAGGCATACACCAATTAAAGTATGCTTAAGAATTATATCTAAAGGCAACTTTAAATCAAGTTTTGGTGCACCATAACTAAACATTCCACAGCGCTGGAGTTCATAATGAAGTGCACAGATTACCATTGTGTTTACTTTGTGTAACAGAAGCAAAACAGCTGTCGCAATACTAGGGAATTCCGACTCATTTCTGCGAATCGATTCGTTCGAACATTTAGTTTCAAAGAATCATTTAAAAAGGATTCAACGTTCTCGCTCAATGAGTCGGCGAGATGTTGAATCACGAACCGTACGGAGCGATTCAGTCCGATTCGTAAAATCGGCCTTGTGAAACGGATCAACCGAAACATTACAGAGATCCGACTCAAATTAATGATTCATTCACGATTCGGACACGCTAACCAGCAGGCTAACGGAGTCTAACGTTACAAGACATCACTTTATGTCTTTTAACCTTCAGTTTAAGCGTCGCGCTTTGATCAGTGCACTCGCGCAATGAACCTTGCCAAGGAAGAATGTCTGTTTATGACAGTGCAAAAACCACATGATATATGTATTTATTGCTCATGTGGGTGTAGTATGATGGACTTACCAGACGTTTCTCCGCCACTCCTCCCTCCTGCTCGATCACAAACGCAAACAGATGAAAAGAGCTCAATTTCAGCGCCTCCGCGATATAATGCACCTTCTACCTTCTTCTAACAACCGACCATAAATAAATCAATCACGTCTTTAAATGTGCATAAATCCGTGCGCATTATTAACAAATCAATAATCGTGTAAGCACAAGCATCGCAGGCTGTAAATTCACGGATGCTCGTAAAACAGAAATTAAATTCGCGCCCCAGATCGCTTGAGACTGTAGTGAGCTGTGCGTGCTCTTGATATACGTCTTCATGAGATAGTCGAGGGAGATTTTTGGTGGTAGATGTGAATTCTGCAGCACGTAGCTTGCTCACGACACGAGCAGGTCCCTCCTCCTTCATCACAGAGGAAGAGAGAGAGGAGAGTTGAGTGTGCGTGTGGTGAGGGAAGCGGATGCTTTCTCAGAGGAAGGGGCAGATGGGCAGAGACATATAGGCCTA